ACCTGCTGCCTGAAGCAGTGGTGTCCGCATCTTCAATTGACTCTTTCAAGAGAAGACTGGACACTCACAGAAGCATACTAGAAAAGGAATAACATAGGCCGTAGGCCTTCTGTCATTACTACACAAATCTGAATCTGAATATGACTCCTAAATCTTTATAGTTCCTTACTTTGTGTAGCACGAATCCACATATTGTATAGTGATACGATTCATTATAGAGAAGAGGACCGAGGATTGTACCTTGGGGAACTCAACTTTTTACAGGTACCCACGAGGAAAGAGCTCCATTATTCCTTCCCCTTTGTCTCCTGTCATGGAGAAAGTTACTTATCCAATCTACGACTGTATAATGGATTCCAAAACGTTCCAGTTTGAATTTAACACCAGAATGGGAGACCTTATCAAAGGCCTTACTTTGATCTATGAAGATCACATCCACATGAATATTCCTATCTTTTGCAGCAGCCCAAACTTCTCTTGCAATGAGAAGATTTGTCAAGGATGATAGGCCTCTCCAAAAACCATGTTGTTCTTTTCAAGTTGCATATTTATCCTGTTAATTATTGGCTTATTAAACTTGACTGCTTTTAAAAAAGCATATGTGCTCCCGACCTTATGCTTAACAATTATCGCTTTTTAGCAAGTATGGGATAAATCGATTAGACGTTTCATAATGAGTTTTAAGAAAAGAACAGAAATAGACCTTATGACTGAACGTACAATAGCCACGGCTAACATTTGTCGGCTATGATCAAATGTCTGTCCATGAGAAATAATATACATCTGTTGATTATTATTTCTTTCTACTTAATTAAGTTTATATGGGGTGTTTCTAAACAGCGAAATACATAAATTATTCACTTTGTGTAACTTAATCCAAAAAATTCGTGGTGTCTCCCTTTTTATCGGGAGTAAAAAATGCTAGTAAACCCAATGCGGGTTTAAGGTATGTGTAATGAGTTTTGCTGAGAAAGAAGGGAAAAATTTTAGTAAGGGAATGTCTAATGATCCACTGTAGGTTGCTGATTTTTTAGTTACTGGGATCATCGTGTAAGTAATAGTGAGGTTAGACGCATTGTATTAGGTAAACCAGTTGTCAAGGTTGTGAATCTTCATCGACTGAGATGGTTGGGCCACGTGTTGCGTTATGCCTGAACACCGATTACCACAACGTGCAATGCTAAGCGGTGTTGGAGACGGTTGGAAGTTAGGGGCGGCCAAACCAAAACGTGGCACCAGTGCTTGAAGTCACTAACTTCTGGTCTGAGCCATGTTGGTAGATGCAGACTACTTGGTTGTGTTCCGCGTGACTAATGTAACCAATGGTTGTAGACCCTTAGTGACATGGCTGAGAATCGATCACAATTGTATAGGTGTATACACTTTTTGTCCTCCTTTAACTTTGCGATAGGAAATGCTTTATACCTTTCTTTCTACGAATTAATTCTTTCTTCCTTATGCACAATCTTTCTTTTGTACATTACTTCCACTGAAGTGACTACTATGAATTCGGTGTTCATCTTCTTGTCCTAATGAAAGATGGAAATACTCGTCGTCGTCTCTGCCTACGATCCCACTGACTGCAGCTCAGACAATGTAAAAGACGAGGTTTACAGAAAGCTTTCCAACCTTCTCCGAAATGTTAGGCGCTCTGATGTAGTAATAGTGGCTGGTGACTTCAATGCTAAAGTAAACTAAGCGAAAAGGAAGGATACCTGGGCGGATCTTATGGTGTCGTGGCTCAAATAACAGATAATCGCAACCGTCTATTGCAGCTATTCAGATTTGTCAAGGAAACTTGTATTAGGAATTCAACTGTTAGCGAAACTATCTCAGGAAAAGTTGGACATATTGACTCTCAATCCAGGAAATTAGATAAATGGGCAGAACAATTTAGGGATCGGTTGAACTGGCCTTCAGCCACACTTCGGTTTCCCACTATTTCCATTCGACCTGAATGGCGAGTTGATGTAAGTCCTCCAACTGTTTACGAAATTGAAAAAGCTATGGAGAATCTAGAGCGTGGGAGAGCAGCGGACCCCGACAGGTTCACCCCTGAAATTTTTAAGGATGGCGGTCCAGTATTAGGAGTGAGAGTGACTGAGGTCTTAGGTAGGATCTGGGAACCGGACATAATCCCATCTGACTGGTCTCAATCACGGATCGTGCCAGTCTATAAGAAAGGAAAAACAGTCCTCTTGTGACAATCTTAAAGGAACCAGTTTGACTAATATAGTATCTAAAATAACTGCTCTAGATTGCTGATTTTTTAGTTAAAATATTCAACTTTGACCTACTTAGTTGGAAACTTGAGCGCTTATCCACCTACTTTAATCAATATTAACCAACTCTATATCCTAAAAGTAAAGCTCAAAGAAGAGTTAATGAGTTTGCTCTTAGTACGATACATCGTTGAAGCCATGTTGTTCACTTTGTACTTCATCAATCATTTCCTGAACAACCTAATGAAACCGTTTGTCTGGGAATTCATGTAGGTAGAATACAAAGACTATTTCACAGATGGTAAGACTTGGCCTATAGCCAAGTGGGTCAGTCTACTAAGAAACAATCATCTAGACAGTAGATTTTAGGCTGATTAAATGGAACAGCCACTTCATGTTGTTAAATAAAAACGAGCAAACAGTGTAACAAAATATTGACTTTAGCAACCGGATTATATAGATATGTTATTTACTGCTCCAGGCCTCGTTAATCTCAATCGCTCAACGTATTCTCTGATATTTTATCCTGTTTGCTTTGCTTTTTATGTAATTGGATCAACTTACTAAAACTATTTAGGAACCAGATGTCTAGAGCATTCTTAAAGCAAAACCTACGTTAGTACTCACACTTCTAACCCTAAAAGGCAGCCTAAGGCTTTTTCTCTAACAAATGTCCAAAAGCGTGCTCTACAACAGTTAAACGACAATAGCCAAAACAACACACTATCAATAAAATACTGATCCATTTAGTCTGATTAAAATGGCCTATTGCTGAGGATGTGAAGAACTCAAATACATTTTATGAGCAATACAATCGATATTGACTTAAGGTGAATTTAAGGTCGACCTTTAACATATATTCGTTACATTACTTAGTGAACTTTTAACACACTTATACTGTGATTTGTGTTTAGCGAGAATTTATAAATTACAGTCATTGTAACAGATGTATAACTGATTAACTCAAGTGAATTTTCATTTTTACGGTCACTATCAAAAAGGCTTCCAAAGCTGTAGTCTCATACACCATAATGAAGTTCCAGTTGCGAGATAGTAGCTTAGTGTATGAATACGCAAGTTGTCTAATTATTTATTTACGTACAAACAGTCCTCTGGACACAATCTTAAAGTAAGCAGTTTGACCAATATAGTGTCTGAAATATTAGCTTCAATAATTCATCGACGCCGAACTAAAGCTGGTGAAGAGCAGACTAGAGAAAACTAGGCTGGTTCTCGACCTGGACGTGGCGGTATAGACTAGATATTTACACTACGTCAGGTCCTAGAACATAGACACACTCAGACATCCCACAATCGTAGTATTTCTCGAACTTAAGGTGGCATTTGACTCTGTTGATCGTGAGGTTCTACGGCAGTGTTTGTCACTAAAAGGAGTACCAGGAAGAAGTACATAAACCTCGTACAGACTCTCTACTCGTTCACAACTGGTCGATTGAGACCTTATGGCGAACTGTCATCAGAATTGATTACCTCAAGTGGTGTTCGTCAGGGCTGTCAACTCTCTCCATTCTTGTTTAACTGTCGGGAGTCTTATCAGTCTTTAAGGACCGGTGTGTGACGGAATCTCAGCACGGATACAGAAGGCTCGAATAGGTTTTGCCAAACTCGCACCATATATGCCGTAGGCGAGATATCTCTCTACCAACCAACGGACGGGTTTACTGCGCAGCAGTTCGTTCCGTCCTACTTTATGGCAGTGAGACATGGCCGGTAAGAGTAGAGGCTATCCGTAGGTTACTAGTATTCGATCATAGGTGTCTCCGAAGCATTTCTCGTATATTCTGTGACCACCGAGTAAGTATTGTGGTTGTTACGAAACGGGTACTAAGTAATTGCTACAACTTGTGGCCTGGGTGCCCTGCAAATGTATGACGTAATGACACCGCAAATTAGAGAGCATTGAATTGTCGACCGACCAATGACGCATAAAACACGTACGAGCAGTATAGAGTTCATATTAGGCCTGCTTCCTGCCTAGCCCAGCCAGTTAAGTTCAGAACACCCATCTCAGCCTCTGCAATATGAATCATTTGTTTCAAAAGTACTCGGTTCATATACCAACCAGAAAGACCACATCGTACCATAAAATAGGAAACAACATTTGCACAAGATTTAGCCAAAAGTGGATGTGAGTGTGGGAGGTAGTAATTAATAGAGAGGGCACAATTCAAGAATGGTAAGTCGTAGAATAATAGTTCAAAATGACGCTCATAACAAGAGGGACATGAATAGTTTAGTTATTTAACAATTATATGATAAAAGTATACGCATAGTATTAGTCCATAAATGGATCCCCGATGTTGCCATTCATTATTCTTATCGGGACATAACAGTAAGGATGGCAAGTCAATTGAGGAAATAGTGAGACTTCATCAGTTGAGATGGCTGGGACATGTGTTACATATGCCCAATCACCGCCTGTCCCGGCGTCAGTTTTTCGGTATAGGAGTAGGTTGGAAGAAATCTAAGGGCAGTCAGACTGAAACATGGCACAAATCTATGAAGCCACGGGCAGTTGGACTGAGCCATGTTGGTGGGTGTAAACTATCTGGTTGGTATCCGCGATACGGCAGCAGCCGATGGCCAAAGACCCTGAATGACATGGCTCAAAATGGTTTGCAATGGCGCAGGTGCATCCACTCTCTTTGCTCTCCCGAACTCTCCATATTCCTTTCTTCCTTTCCAAATTTATTTCACTGGATTATACTCCTTAAGTGACATCTCCCAACCCTAATATCTCCGATTACTGCTTATACTCTTACTACCTCTACCACTATGGGTGTGGATCGACAAGTGTATCTCTGTTTTGATGTGATATGGCAACTCGGACTGATGTACGAAGTTCTATGTTATTGTATGGCTGGTGGAGAGTGGAAACTTGGACCGATGTATATATGTCCCTGATCCTACGTTGTAGTTGACTAATTGGCTGTCCACGTGAGTGGGGAGACGCAGGTCCCCCTCTCAAAATGCTGTCACATGGCCACGTGCACGAAACCACTACTATTTCTCATTATGCAACGTTTTTGTTTAATATTCGGCACTGAGATGACCACATGTAATCAAATATCAGGAAAACTGATCAAATGACGCGGTATGCGCAATTAGATTGCCATCCACTTAGCGAGCAGAATTTAGTGTGTACATACATATTGTCACTACTTCAACGCATAGTAAAACAATTATATAAGATTAGTTCAGCACCAATCTTTCTCATTTAATTTCTTAACGGGTGTATTCCGTTTATTAAAAAAAAAAACAATTATAATCAAATACAAACTTTATAATGTTAGCATAATCACTAAATGCATTCCATATTAACCGGATTTGAACAAAAGGATTGCAACTTGTCCAGCGTAGAAGTAAATAAAGTGTTTTGTCTCATGTGTTACGTAGCTCCCAAAGTTCCTCCCAACGACACAATGCCACGTTGGATTATGTTTCTTGTCGAACTATTTCATAAAATATAAAAGAATGGGACATACTTCTTTCTTAATATATGCAGCAATATCTTTCTCGATGTTGTACTTTTCAAATGCTTGGGTTGCTGCCTCTATCGCATCTTGTTGCATTTCCTCAGACATATCTGCATTTTTGATAACAGCCTTCCTGGATCCGTCACCCATCTCCAGCAAGATAGTCAACGCACACCGCAGCTAACGAGATCAGAATTACAGTGATATACAGATCGTTTGTCCACAAAACGACCTAACTGTTATGTGATTGGTTTGTATTTAGTAAGTTGGCTTCAGTGGCATTCTATTGGACGCGACATACTCCACCCACGTAATCGTATTCCGATTGGTAAACGGAATAATTAGACAGGTATGGTCGCTGCTGGTGTGACATCCAGCTCCCTATTGGCTTAGTCACTATGATTGTGGGCATAGCATATTTTCTCTCCACTCATCCTGACAACCAATCAAATCTTTGAGCTAGTGGCGCGATCTGCGTCCTTTCCGAGGTCACAGCAAAACAACATGAATACTGTATTTTGTTCATCATTTCGCTCCGTCTAGTTTGCAGTTTCGGTGGAGTTGTAGTTGCTTAGAATCAACCAAGTTTGCTTCTTTTGACTACATTTGTATTGCTAATGTTGTGACGAGAAGCTGAATAAAATTCCCCATCGTTTTCCATTTAGGAGGAATGTTGTAGGTTGATTGTGTGGTATTATTATTATTTTGTATTAACTGTTTTATAACTGGATAGAGTTTCCTGATTAGCTGGTAAGTCGCCAAGGTCGTCTGTATATTATACTTTTACCGAGTGTTGTAGATTTGTATTTTCCGAATGTCAAAAATCAAATCCATCGTCTCAAAACGTTGGTTTTTCACACTATTTTTTCATGTTAATATTGTGATTATCGCCGGTTTCCAGCACTAGGCTGCTCTGTTGCAGGTCGGGATGTTCCCCGTTCACCCTTGCCTATGTTGCGTTCATTTTAATTCCTCATAGCCTTCAGTGTAGTCAACAAGCGTTTTACTAACCACCGTTTGCTGTACTGGTATGTCATAAGCGCCATCTGAAATGTGAAATTGAGCCTTTGGTTTATTGAAATTGGGCAATGGTGTTATTAGGGCTACTGAGTAAACTTGCACTATTTTCAGAAATGTTTCCTTGTATGCATCAAATTGCTTAAGTAAAGTTATGACGCAATTTGTGCGGTTTTCTCAGTGGTCTTAGTTTAAGGGGATGCCTAGATAATCTCAAAGGTTAGCTAGATGTGCTAAGCAGGCAATCTCGTTTAAAGGCAGCAGGCTGTATTGCCCTGAAATCACTCGACCTCGTGAGAAAATCCTAACATATTATTCACTCTCAATCCAGGAAATTAGATAAATGGGCAGAACAATTTAGGGATCGGTTGAACTGGCCTTCAGCCACACTTCGGTTTCCCACTATTTCCATTCGACCTGAATGGCGAGTTGATGTAAGTCCTCCAACTGTTTACGAAATTGAAAAAGCTATGGAGAATCTAGAGCGTGGGAGAGCAGCGGACCCCGACAGGTTCACCCCTGAAATTTTTAAGGATGGCGGTCCAGTATTAGGAGTGAGAGTGACTGAGGTCTTAGGTAGGATCTGGGAACCGGACATAATCCCATCTGACTGGTCTCAATCACGGATCGTGCCAGTCTATAAGAAAGGAAAAACAGTCCTCTTGTGACAATCTTAAAGGAACCAGTTTGACTAATATAGTGTCTAAAATATTAGCTTCAATACTACATCGACGCCTAACTAAAGCTCGTGAAGAGCAGACTAGAGAAAAACTTGCTGGTTTTCAACCTGGACGTGGCGGTATAGACCGGTTATTCATGTTTTCTTTCTTTCTCTTTCCAAATTTATTTCACTGGATTATACTCCTTAAATATCATCTCCCAACCCTGATGTATCCGATTACTGCTTATACTCTTACTACCTCTACCACTATGGGATGTGAATCGACAATTGTATCTCTGTGTTAATGTGGTATGGCAACTCAGACTGAATTACGAACGTACGAAAATATACGTTGCGACTGACTGAATGAGCCAGCCGAGCATCATACGGGAGCTTCGCTATCCCGGGAATCAGCTTAGTTGCTGTTCTCTGAACCTCTTCGAAGTCTCACAATAATTTTTAAGAAGGGGCTAGCCGATTGTGTGCAATTCTAAATTTTAGGACGCATGAATACTGTATACAAAGTCAAAAAACTTTTAGCGTCGACGTGACTAAAGGCCCCACGTATTGACCGTAAATTTCTAAAACATTTGGCGGCTATCGCACGGCAGCGTGCAGTCGTCTTTAAGTCATGGCTAACGATGACTCCTAAGACATTGTGTGCCTGGACAACAGTGTCATTCATCATGTACGTACCTGTGCCTTAATGATGGGTATGCATCACAATACACTTGAAAGTATTTATCGGCAACTGCCAAGTTTGAGACCATCCAGATAATTTCTCCAGGTCATTTTGGAGTTCTAAGCTATCACCCTCACATCGTATCGTTCTCCATATCTTGACATCGTCAGCATATAGCAAGACCGATGATAATAGGAGACGAGGAAGGTCATTTACATACAAGAGGAATAACGCTAGCCCCAAAACTGTACTCTGGAGCACTCTACTAAGCAGTTTCTCAGTTAGACAACTTGGAGTTCTCCCATACTCTGTTGGCGCCCAACTAGGAAGTATTTTATCCACGTCAATAGATTTCCTCCAACCCCGACATTTCTTAACTTACATAACAGCCGGTTGTCAAATGCTTTGCCGAAGTCAATGTAGGCTACGTCTACGGGTAAATTTTGGTCCTTAAGAGCGCACCAGTTTTCACGAACCACTAATAAGTTAGTGAGACAGGAATATCCTATTCTATAACCATGTTGCTTTTCCGAAAGGATCCGGTTCTCATCGAGATACTTAAACAGCTCCTTCTGGATAATCTTCTATAAAATCTTAACAACCACACTAGTTAGGCTAACGGGTTGGTAATTCTCAGGTTTACGTTTCGTACCTGTTTTGAAGACAGGACTTACTATGGCGTTCTTCCAGTCTTTTGGTAAACGACCCTGAGTTACGGATAGATTAAGGCATATACTCAATGAAGCTAATTCCTTTAGTAACCTAGGATGCCGTCCATCGGGTCTCGTGGATTTGCTTATGTCAAGCTTATTTACCAGACCAAAGACATCGAGTTCTTCAATGTTCATGCTGGCCAGTGTGTGTGTGGGGATTTTTATGGACTGACGGAAAGGGTGTTTTCACGGTATATAAATTGCTAAAATAGTTTGAGAATACTTGGGCTTTACCAAAGTCGTCCTCCACTAATAATGAGGCAGTACTGTCTCCCTATAGTGCCGGAATATTTCCTCTTCTTTTTGTCCTCTGGTCTATATACCGTGGATATGGATGTGTCCAGACTGTCAGTTTATCCTTACACTACACAGGTTTAAGATTAATTTGATCGACTTAAACTAAACTGATATATATAACTTTTGGCTCCTTGGATTTCAGTACTACAAATTCAAGATTATATGCTCCAAAACAATCATGGGCTGACTGATTTGTGGATCGGGCTGTTAATGACCAAGACGACGTAGCCACAGCTTTCACCTTGGATGTATTCAAAATGTAACGACGTAAACCAGGAAATCTTGTTCGAAAATGACATCTCCCAATGAATCAGGAATGTGATGTTATCCAATTACATAAAATTTTGTTCATGTTTGTAGATTCACATTAAAAAATAAATTACAATATAGATCTCTGAACCTTGCTTTTAGTATATACACGGGTTTAAGTTTGATATCCAACATTTCGAGCTTCTGACGACAGTTTCTTAGATCCTCGTATTTGCTTATTTCAGTAGTTTTATTGTCACTTGCAATTGAGGCCGTTTCAGTATGTATTTTCCTGCGCTGCCTTGGATCACTACACATATTCTATAGTTGATTGTTATATCGCAAGATAATACCGGTTTTATTTTGCAATAATCTGATCTAGACATAGGAATGCAGTGTGAATGTAAATTGGTTTATACAGACTGCGATGCATACACTTAATACTACTTCCAGGATTGCTTATTTCCGCATCGGACCGTTGTTAACACGTAATTAATTAAACATGCTACTGGACCGAACTGTAAGTTAAAAACCTTAGAATTTATTGTTGTAACATTTACTGATAGACCACTTCTGGTGTCATTTACCATGTAACCACTCCATCTTGATAATTTAGTCAAGCCAGTCCATCTCGATAACATAAAAATCCATTGGATGATAAATATAAAGACTCATATCCTTTTAGTGTTGCTCAGTCAGTCAGTCAGTTGCTCATTAACTTCGGGTTAAGAAAATAAGCCTAAATAACACGGATTTGCATAACCAATGTGCAGTTAGTTTATCTGCATTTAGAAAGTGTAACAATTGAATGCTCAAGTGAATAGCTTATCCCACATGGCGTAGTTATCTATCAGTGAACGGCATCAGAGTTCGGTCGTTTTGCTAAAACGCACGTGAATGTTTAAATGCAAAGAAGTCCTACTACAATGAACTTAACTCAAGGAAGTAAAATCAGAATTGAGAAACAATTCTTGGGAAGATTTATTCAGATAATAAGAGATTACTTCACATCTTTTATATGTTCCTTTTGAGCCACTTCACAGGATGCGTCAATTAACCCAAGAAGTAAAAGGAATAGAAATCGTGACTATTAGGGCATGACGTTGCGAACGAGAAATTACAGACACGTCGGTATATAGCGTACAGATCTTACAGTTCGAGAGGTACCAAGAGATACGGAATACAACCCGGCAGGGCATAGTACAAAACCTGAGAGGATTACCATATACTTTTACCGAAACTTCAGTCATCACACTTTTGTCTGGTAGATGTAGCATTAAGCTTGACTTACAATTGTGGTGCGTGCTACTTATATTGATATAAGTAGTATATAACGCGAGTTAAAGAACGCAATGATTGGCAGCAGAAGATGGGGGAAGAGCGAGAACACAATGGAATTTGTAAGAAACCGCATAAACAATCAAATGTGAGACAATGGATTGATGATTGCAACAGAAACAGTCCGGTTTGATGTGATGGAATGATATTTTGCAAACTAACGATTTACTATATGGCTTTTCTATTTTACCAAGTAACTCTGTAATTTTGTGCTAACTACAATTCTGTTGTCCTCACCTGTGTTCCCCTTCACTACACCATATTGTGAATCTAAAGGTCATGGAGCCTGTATATGTCATGAAGATTAGATTCTTAATCTGATTCTCACTAGCTGCATTGTGCCTCGAAAAACTCCGCTCATCTTCAAAGACATCGGTAGATGTTAGTGATTGGCATCCCGTCAACTTCATATATTGTTTCATTCACACCAGACTGCCTGCTGCCAGTGGCTCGGATGAGTTGAAAGAGCTTCCGGCAGCCACATGATGCAGCTGCTGTTTACAACTCACCAGCACGCTCTGACCATCCGGCTTCTCAGTCCTTACGCAAGCTTAGTCTAATTTCGCCACGTAACAGTTTTCGTTTGTGGTCGAACTCGCTGTCACTTGGAGTAGACCGACGGGCCTGAAGAAACCCAGTCCTTACAAGCGGGAAATCTTGCGAAGCCGCAAGCTACTTTGCTCGTCATTTCCATGATGTCATGCAATTGCAACCAATGCTCATCTATACTTTTCTGTGGGATGTTTGCTAGCCTTGAACCTAGCTCCGTTTCATATTTGGTTGCACCAGAAGGTACAACCATTTATCTGGCATCGATCCGCTTACGACGATGAATTTGTTGGCCACTGAGAAGATAAGATAAGCGCAAACAAGGGAATGATCAGAGTCTAGATATGTACTCCAAATGGAACGCCAGTCTTGTACACAACCACGCCAGCGGTCAGTCAGTCAGTCAGTAACAACGTAGAACTTCGTACGTACGTACATCAGTTCGAGTTGCCACACCACATTAGCACAGAGATGCAGTTGTCGATTCAAATCCCGTAGTGGTAGAGGTAGCAAGAGTATAAGCAGTAATCGGGAAGATTAGGGTTTGGAGATGTTATTTAAAGAGTATAATCCAGTGAAAGAAATTTGGAAAGAGGGAAAAAGGGACATGAAGAATTCAGAAGATTAGAGTTTGGGAGAACACAGAGAGTGGATGCACTTGCGCCATTGCGAACGATTTTGAGCCATGTCATTCAGGGTCTCTAACCATCGGTTGCTGTCATCTCGCGGTCCCCAACCAGGTAGTCTACACCTACCAATATGACTCAGTTCACTTGTCAGTGACTTCATGGACTTGTGCCATGTTTTGGTTTGGCCGCCCCTAGCTTTCTTCCAACCTACTCCTATACCACTGAACATAGCACGTCGAGGCAGTCGGTCGTTGGGCATACGTAACACGTGTCCCAGCCATCTCAACTGATGAAGTTTCACTACGTCATCAATTGATTTGCCATCCTTACCTAGTACCCGTTTCCTAACAACTGTGTTACTTACTCGATGGTCCCATGATATACGAGCAATGTTTCGAAGACACCTATGATCGAATACTAGTAACCTACGGATATCCTCTACTCTTACCGGCCATGTTTCACTGCCATAAAGTAGGACGGAACGAACTGCTGCGCAGTAAACACGTCCTTTGGTTGATAGACGGATATCTCGCCTACGCCATAAATGACGCAAGTTGGCAAAAGCTAGTCGAGCCTTCTGTATCCGTGCTGAGATTTCGTCACACACCAGACCACAAGGGCTGATGAGACTTCCAAGATAAGTGAAGCGGTCGACACACTCAACTACTTCACTCCCTATCACTAGTTCGGGTGTCGATGTAACCCAATCCTGAAGCAACATTTTGCATTTCGAGGGAGAGAATCGCATCCCGAACATGCTTGCATTGTTGCTTAGAGTGGTCAGAAGACTCTGCATTTTGTCAGCGTCTTCACCAAATAGAACTATGTCATCAGCATATTCTAAGTCAACAAGTGAACCTCCTGGTAGAAGTTCAACCCCTGTAAATTTAGATGAGGAGAGTGTTATCTCTAAAAGTACGTCAATGACAAAGTTGAACAAGAATGGGGAGAGTGGGCAGCCCTGACGAACACCACTTGAGGTGATCAATTCTGATGACAGTTCGCCATAAGCTCTCACTCTACCTGTTGTGTTCGAGTAGAGAGCCTTTATAAGGTTAATGTACTTCTTTGGTACTCCTTTCAGTGACAAACACTGCCGTAGAACCTCACGATCAACAGAGTCAAATGCCACCTTAAGTTCGAGAAATACTACCATTGTGGGGCGTCTGAATGTGTGTCTGTGTTCTAGAACCTGACGTAGTGTGAATATCTGATCTATACAACCACGTCCAGGTCGAAAACCAGCCTGGTTTTCTCTAGTCTGCTCTTCACGAGCTTTAGTTAGGCGTCGAAGTATTATTGAAGCTAATATTTTAGACACTATATTAGTCAAACTGATTCCTCTGTGATTGTCACAGGAGGACTTTTGTCCTTTCTTAAAAACTGGCACAATCAGTGATTGAGACCAGTCAGATGGGATTACGTCCAGTTCCCAAATTCTACCTAAGACCTCAGTCAATCTCACTGCTAATACTGGACCACCATCCTTAAAAATCTCAGGAGTAAACCTGTCAGGGCCTGCTGCTCTCCCTCGTTTCAGATTTCCTACGGCTTTTCAACTTCGTAAAGGGACGGAGGACTTACATTAACTTGCCATTCAAGTTGACTGGAGATCGTGGGAAACCGAAGTATGGCTGAAGGCCAGTTGAACTGATCCCTAAAGTGTTCTGCCCATCGATCCAATCTCCTGGATTGAGAATGAATAATATGTCCATCTTTCTCTGAGATTGTTTCGCTAACGGTCGGGTTCCTAATTCCGGTTTCCTTAACGAGTCTGAACAATTGTATGCTATTACCTATTGCCGCTGCCTTTTCCATCTCCCTTGCTTTCGCTACCCACCACTGTTCGCGATCATTGCGTAGACTTCTTGTCAGCTTGCGCTTAAGCTGACTCCGCTCTTCATTATGTTCAGAGCCAGGTGGAATGAGTTTTTGAGCATCTATCAGTGCGATAGATGCTGCTGAGATCCAGTGTTGCTCCCTAACTTGACGGTTTACCTTACTAGCAGATATCACTGCTGTTTCCACAGCTTTTCGGATATCGTTCCATGCTGCCTCGGGGTGGGCATCACATATATGGCTGCCTAACTGTTTTCCTAGTTGTTCCTGAAATATATTCTTAGCTTGACTATCATTAAGTAGGGCCCTAAGAGGTTTCCTTGCAGGATCTTTCCTACGTCCAGTAAGACGCAGACAAATACGCGCTCGCACTAGAGCATGATCTGAATCTAGGCATGTGCTCCAGAATGAGCGACAGTCTTCTATCGAGCCCCTCCATCGGTGGCTGATAGCGATGTGATCTATTTGGGTCCAACGTTGGGACGAATTAGGGGGTCGCCATGTTAAAAGATGTTTTTCCTTATGCTTAAAGTTAGTATTTGCAAGGAACAGGCGGTTATCTGAGCATAGCTGCAACAGACGGTCGCCATTATCTGTTCTTTGAGCCACGACACCATAGGATCCACCTAGGTGTCTTTCCTTATCGCTTAGTTTACCTACTTGAGCATTAAAGTCACCGGCCACTATTACTACATCCGAGCGCTTAGCTTTTCGGAGAAGGTCCGAAAGCTTTCTGTAAAACTCATCTTTTACATCATCTGAGCTGCAGTCAGTGGGAGAATAGGCAGAGACG